TGTTGTATATGAATTGTTGCATAATTCGTTGTGTTGTACATAAAGTGTGAATAGACTTAATTATATACATGAGCCTGCAATTCTAAGGTTGTAGTTGGCCGCCATGTTAGTCAGAGATTTGGTGATTAAAGCCTTTAAGTTCAGGCAACGTCTTCTCTCGTTTATAGCATTGGTAAAATCTCTTCCCATTTCACATTACAAATAAAATATTTGGTCCCTGCTCGTCTCGTTCGGGACACTTGGGAGTAAAATGGCCCATTTTTGCACGTTTTGCAGGCATCTTAAGCTCTGGATGAATTACCGAGCTGTTTTCTACAGCTTCAGCCTCCAGGAGCGAGGCCGAGGAGCGGCGTGCTTTTGGCATGATGAGAAAAATAACAGTGACGAAAGAGATACTCGATTGAAACATTTGTCTAGTTACAGTAACTGTTGCCGTGTTTCTGCAATCGCGTAGTAGTATTTACGTCTTCACTGATTCACTTTTTTTTTCTTTTTTGTTTATTCTCATTCATTAGCTGTTGTGTTCATTGAGCCATTTCACAATTTTTTCCATGAGGTTTGCTCACTCAAATGGCCAGTTATAATCAAGAATTTTGCTCTCAGCTTATAGCCGATGGTTTTGCTTTTTCTCTTGGATCACATGAGTCTGTTGGAAGGTCTCTAACTTTAAGGGTCTCGGCTTATAGATGAAGAAATACAGTACCTAAGTGTGTATATGTGGGTTGTGTGTCACTGATGATGTAATTAAAAAGCTGTATGTCCACCTCGTTAGACCACATCTTGATTACGCCTCTCAAGTGTGGTCTCCTCATCAAGCCTATTTAAGTGATATGGTAGAGGCTGTACAACGTCGGGCGACTAAGCTCATGGTCGGGAATAGGATTCCTTACAAAGAACGTTTGAATAAGACTGGTTTGATGTCACTATCTTCTAGACGTATCTATCTAGACTTAATTTTTTTATTCAAATGCCTGCATAGTTATTATGATCTTGACATCTCTAAGTACCTGCAGTTTTATGATTCTGAGCATGAACCCTATAATTTAAGGAACACTGAACTAACCTTTAAAACCAACTATGCAAGAACAGATTTATTTAGGTCTTCTTTTTTTCCCAGAGTTGCTCATCTTTGGAATAATTTACCTATATCTATTAGGAGAAGGGAATCACCATCAATGTTCAAAAATGACCTAAGAGGCTACTGTTTTGCTATCGATAGCAGTGATTTAAAGTGATTGTTACTTAATTTTAGTTAGCACTTAGTTTTAACATGTAGCATTTTACCATACTCGTTTTATGATATTGCCTGTAATTATGTATACTTTACTTTTGTCCTCTATTTCATATATATAGTTTCTGGTGGCCTTTATCTTTAGGGAAGTTCATTCCTGTTGCTAGGTCCTCCATCAGCTATTAATTATATGTTTGTATGTACATATATTTATTTGCTGTAAATTGATTAAAGTTAAAGTTTGTATATTCTATGGTAATGGATGCAGAGATGTACTGCTGTATTCTGGAGGCAACCCTTCTACCATTCATCAATCAGATGCTACCAGACCACAGATTTATGAAGGATAATGATCCCAAACATACGCCAAGACTAGCGAGGGCCTTCTTCGAGGAGAATGATATAAACTGGTGGCGTACCACCCCACAGAGTCCGGATTTAAATCCCATCAAGAACTTATGGCACAAGCTGAAATTTTACTTGAATTGAAAACAAAGCCGCAAAACATGCAAGAACTGGTTGACGGAATAAAGGTGTTTTGAGCTGAGAGGATAACAGAAGAGAAATGCACCAAGTTATCTACCATGTCCTCATGAAAGTCGTCCCAGCAGTAGTGGAGGCAAAAGGAACAGCAACGTAATTTTAAAGATTGATTTCACAACTCAAAACAAAACAGCTCCTTAAGTAGCCACAAATTTCACAAAAATCATTGACCAATAAAAAATTAACAGTTGTAATTAAAACTAAAACTGCAACTAAATGCCTTTTTTACACTAAGAAAACCAATAATCTTGATATCTTATGAATGAAACAGTCTTTGCACGACCCACACCGTGAAAGTTGCCTTTTATGCACCCTATTATTTTACACTTACAAAAACTTATGATTGTTGATAAATTTAACAAACAGACATGACCCGCTCTCTTAAACAATAAACAATAGGCGACTCATGCATAGGTCATAACATCAATACGTTTACTTTTTTGCATGCATGAGACCAAAACTGAGACAAAAACTTTGTTTTAGTTAAACCTCGCTCTTCCAATTGCATTGATATTCCTTGTTTCCTTGCTTACTCTTTGCACGTGCCACAAAAACTAAAGCATGTGTGCATATTTCATTAAACCCAAAACAAGAATTCTAGCACTTTCAAATTACCTGCCTACTCATGTAACAATAAAAGGACTGAAATAAGCCCATGGTTCCATTAACTCTATCAAAGTCGCTTTATCACACCTTTCTTTCAAAGCTCTCATGAAGCCAACGCCTCTATTGTTATAGAGAACAAACACCGTGTACAAACCAGTCATCTGATAAAAATCCCAATCCATCTACAGGCTTTGATAGCTATAAGAGGGGAAAGCTTAATTCAATTAACATGAACAGTTTTCATCATCACACATAGAACCAAAATGGAAAAAATCATTGAAGAAAAACTTGTTCAAGTAAAGTGGAGCTGAAGTCAGTATTCTGCAGTGTCTGGATCTGACATAGCTGATCTGTCTCCTATCAGACCCAGACAAAAAGTAACCGTTATGTGGGGGAGGCAGAAGAAAGAACACACTCTTGTTGTTGAATGCTACCCAGTAGAGCCTGAGGAGTCAGAACACATGGAGCGCTAGGATAGCCTTCCCCTGCATTGAGCAAAGAGAAAGTTGGTAAGTTATTTACTTCCTATTTTTATATTTAATAACTGCTCAGCAAGATTATCTTACCAAAGATCAAGTTAACATAGTTGAAAGTTTGCTGCAAAAAGCCCTACTAAACTTTCTTTTGGAGTTGGAGTGCAAACTATATTTCGAAATGTTAAGTTGTTAATCTAGTTATATGAGTGTGAGCGCTGTTGGTAACACGTACTGGTGGTTCGTTGACAAATTAAATCAGTTTATTTAATTTCTTGGATCCCTGACTCTGCAACTGTGAATGAAAAGCCTAGCAAGAAGTTTACCGAAGAAAAAGGGAAGAAGGAGGATAAACCTAAATGAAAGGTACTTTGATTAAGTTTCTATCCTCTTTTGATTTGCCTTATCATACTCAATTGTGTTATTTTCATTTAGTATGTCACTTGATTCAATTCACTTTGACTCAGGTATCATGTGCAGCCTCTTATACGAAACCTACATCAAATGAAGGCTAAGTTGTAGTTATATATTGTGGAATTAGAAGCACCAACAATATTACTTCTCCATTTCTGGACTATGCAAAACACTATTTATGCAAGACAGCCAAGTGACTAAACCTTTGCCTGCACTCTTAATTCTGCATCAACAAAACTAAAACATAAACAGACATCAAGATATGGGCTTTCATATGATACAAGTTTCACTAGATTTGATTAAGAGTGGCATTCATAAGAACAAAACTCGTGTTTTAGATCACGTTGACATTCTTTGTGCTTATCACAGAATGGAATGCCAAGTCCGTTTCTGTAAACTTTGCTGCATTTGTACGCACTTGTGATGTCACAATATACTACTTCTTCTTAGCTGTCATTTTATGTCAGTTTCATATGATTCATAAAAATCGGTGAAACAACTTGATGAAAATCACTTGCCAAAAATCACTAAGTTTGGCTGTATGCAAACCAATTGTGATCTTCCTTATAATGCTAATGTTCCATAATTGAGACGCTTCACATAACTTCTGAGTCCAATTATTTAAATTTAAACAATAATTGGTTAAACAATTACCTATCCACAGATCCTTGACCTACAGCCTCCCACAAATGACAACTACGTAAGGGACAGCGATGGAGATTCAGACAACTTAGAACCTCTGTTGGCTGCCTTTTCCTCTCCCCATCCCATTCAGACGAAATCTTGTCAATTGTTACCAGACAGCCATGGTGACTTTTTATTGGACCCTGAAGTTGTAGTTGAGTGGTCAAGTCCTAGAGAGACGATAAACAAGGCAATCATCACAGTGGAAAAGACGAATGATATAGGATTCCTCTCCAATTTACTAAATTTGAATTGAGAACAGAGGTATTACTTAATAGGCAATTTCAGATAGTTTGCAAGTTCAATTTAAATTCTTAATCGAACCCAGGTTTTTATATTTCTTGTTTCATTTGCCAAGAGGTACTCAGGATTGATGAATTTCCAAGTGTTGGATGTAACAGCTACTGTATCTCTCTCTCATTAAAGTGTACCAGAAGGATAATGATCACGAAAACTCAGAATTTGGCATGGAGCTTCAATTGGCCAGAACAATTCTGGAACATTTAGAATGTTCTTTTGCACGTCAAGAGGCGAAGCTTGACTGGCTTTTAGAGATGAAGGCTACACTGGTCAAGGAAAGGACTGCTTCTAGACTGTCCTTGCAGTTTACTCCTTGTCTTCCTTTACACAATCAGACCAAGAAATTTTCCATTTTAGCACCGACCAGCTGGCCTGTGAATAGGTCCCCTCAGTATCCAACAAAAACACGTCAGATGATGCCAATATTAGACCTAGAGAGGCTACCAAGTGATTCCAACTTAACAGGTGAGTTTTTTGTCTTATACTTGCAACAACTTTCATGGTTGGTAGCAATTTGAGAATTGAGGTGTTTATAGGCTAAATACCACACTTTACTTTTAGAAACCATTACAGTTGGTGGATTTGAGGGTGCGCGGTTGTCTTGTGAAGATTACAACTATGCAGTTGCAGCATCAAAGCCTTCAGCAATGACCTTAAGGCTTTTAGAAAAGCTCTTTTCTAAAGAGGTGCTACTTTGCTCAACTCTATGGAATTCTCTGGCCTTGATCAAACAACGATTTCAGCTGTAAAAGGTATGCTAATAAAAGTTTGTTATTTTACTTCGATGAAATGTATAATGTTCTCCAACCAAATTGTTTTTATGTTGTTTTGTTTTGGTTTGCTTTTATGATTTGTATGTTGTACTGGTAGGAAACACCCTCCCCCCCTTGTGCTGCAACAATTCATACTTTGTTTTTCTGTTTTTCTTTTCTTTTTTTAGCTGAGGTGATCAAGGGCTATTCTTACCAGTGCCACAGCACTAACAAAACAAGCCACATGTGGGATATGTGCTCTTTTCTGCATTTTGAGATGTCGAGTTTGATGAAAGCACATGGCATGTTTTGTAATTTGTGTTTTTGAGCTTACTCAGTTTCTCCATGATCTAAACACGAAAAACTTGTAAGTACATTGTATATCTGTTAATTTTGTTTTAGTTTCTTTGTTCGCCATATTATTTCTTAATGTGTATTGTATTTATTTCAGTGAATCGTTAGTTAGCTAGTTTATTTGTTCATTCTAGTTTGTTCACTAGGCGTGATGGAAGTTTGTTTGCCAATTTACATGGAATAATAATACAGTTAAACGCATATCAAAGTATTCAGTTGTCCTTGATCACAAAGTAAAGACACTGGGTCTCTACATGCAGAGATCCATTAGTTGATTTTACCACTTTGACTTTGGCACTCAACTGTTTGAGTAAGAGGCTAGATACAATTGGGCTGATTGCTCATTAATGGACTGGTTTAGTGCAGGTGTTTGTGGCATACTTTTGGGAATTATTCAAATTTCACAGGCATTACACATCTTTGATCATTTAAAATTTACTTCAGGGCTATTTGCAATGAACCTGTTAGTGTCTTAAGGAAGTTCAGGTGAAGGTTAGAAAGAGGGCAAATGCTTGACCTTAAAAACGACTCGGAAGGGTGTGAGGAAAAGATCATGTAGATAATTGTCTCTCCTTACCACCTCTTTGATGATGCAGTGGAAGAGATATTGAGGGAAGATCTGCCAGTGATTGATTTTAGTGTACCTTCAGAGGTGATCTTTACAGGTGATAGCACTCAAGATTATGGTGGTCCAAGCTGGGAATTTTTGGGTATGATGATGTGTGAAATATGTGACAAGCTCTTCAAAGAAGAAGGAGAAAGCTATATTAATTCTGAGGATAAAGAAGCATTGGACAGGAAACAGTATTAGGGAGCTGGTCTCTTTTTTGGTAAATATGCAAAGCCTATTGATACACCCATGTCTTTTCACTTGGGCACACAAGAATTTCAGTTTGCTGCAAGGAGGTCCTTTGCCTACTTTCCTTGCTGAAGACCAGCTTCAGCATTTCTTCACAAAGGATGATTTGACCAATCTGGGGGAAGCGGAAACCTAATTTGGGTAGGACTTGAGATTGAAACTCTAACTGTAAAGAGAAAAAATGGAGATGAACTGAGCCCTCAAGCCTGAGAGGATTTCTTTCCAACTTCAACCATCACTTGGAAGCTTGTGAATATCCAAAGACCTTGAGGACCTTGAGTTTGAGCAAACTCAAAAAGCTTTGGAGGCTCAAAGCAGACACCTAAAAAAAGGAAGGGAAAGGCAACAAGCCAAACGCAGCAGAGGCTTGAACAGATGAAGAGGTCAACATTCTAAACACGAAAAACCTGCTTGGAATCACAAGTGCTGAGGCTTTTTTGAACACTTTGTGGTTTACAAATCCACATCATTACAGGTTGAGAGGCTGTGACAAGCATAGAAAAATGACTTAGGGAGATGTTCAATTTATCAGAGATGTGGATAGAACTAAATATAGAGAATATTCTGAACGACAGACCATGACATGAACTGGAGCGGAAATTTGAAATATCAGATCAGTCAAGCCTAAAGCTTTCGTTACTCACGACAGATGAGAGAAACCCAGTGTTTGATTACAAAATTTATTGCAAGAAAAGACCAAACTCAATGCTGACCAGCGAGCAACCTTCTTATCTCATTATCAACTATTCAAGGAATTCTCCTGGAAAATTTCTGGTAAGATTCTGGTTGAAAATTTCATGGCTCAATCACGTCTGAGGCTGTCATAAAGGCTCTTTGATGCTTCTCTCTTACTGTGCTCCCCAAGGTGCACATGATCTTGCAGTTGTTCTGAAGAATTGAACTCAGAGTAGCATCCTTGTTCTGGGCAGTGAAGCAGCGCGTCTTCTTTATCATTGTTGGAACTTTGGCTGTGATTGAGATTCTGTTGTATGGCTCATGGTGCTGTGGCAAAGAAACCGTGATTCTCAACTTCTCTTAACACAACAAGGCCTTGCTTCTCAAGGACAAGCTCTGAGTATGGTATTAAATTGGCATTCCCATCCCCATAGGCTTTTGAGAGACAAAGAACATCCTTTAAAAGGCAAAATTGACAAAAAGCTGAAATTATTGATGCTCTTAATTTTAACTTCCTTTCTGTCACTAACAATCTTGCAAACAGCAGCTGGTGATTCCTTTACTTCTCTCACTTCCAATGCATTGTGCATGTCAGCTGTTGTCAAAATGTTATGGCCTTCATTACAATATCTACAAATTGCCCCTTTCATTGGACTGATGATGCAATCACAAACATCCTTGCCTTGCTTAAGAATAAGAAAAGGAGGTATCTCAGATAGAATAGCTGATCTATCAATACCTGTCATACTAATAAAGTTGTTGCTATGTAAGCTCAGCATATACTCCTGCTTTTACTAACACATTTTGCTCATCATGAAAATATTAAAAGGAAAATTCAATTTATAACGATTCTCAAGAAGATGCAACAAAGGATGACGTGATGAATAAGTAAACTTACTTAAATTTTCCCAGGATGTCCTTTGAGAAATGTAAGCATTCATTCGCTACCTGTACTGTGCATATAGTAATTATATGTAAACTATTGGGGTTTAGAAAAAATGCATTTTAATCTGCCTCTAACATTAAGAATAAAGTGCCAACCAAGACAGACAGCAGAAGCTGTAGCAGTACTAGTAAGCCAGAATGTAGTGGGGCAGACAGATGAGACAACAGCAGGCCAAACAAGTCACACAATTGGTAACGCAACCGACATTTCCACAATGAGGTACCCAGATGAAGCCCCAGGAGGACAAACAGTGGCAGATGCACCGGGACACACACTTGACGTAGAGGCTCTGTGTCAAGAAAGAGGTGTTGCTTTGGTTGGAGAAACAAACCAAAACATGACTGAAGATAATACTTTGTTTAAATTAGATTTTTAGCTTTTCTTTGTGTTTCCCCAGCCTTTAAATACATGGGTGGGATGTTTGCTTTTAGGTTTGACGCTCATCTAAATTGTTTCATTTTATATCACCATCTTTGTTTCAGTTACCCTTTAAATTAGGTTATCATTGTTGAGATTGGTTTGTGGTAAGAAAGAAATAATGCATATAAGTAAGAAGAAAATTAGAAATAAACAAAAGTCAACATCAAGTTTTTCTAAAGGAAGTGTGCCATCATGCTGTCAGTCACTCTAGAATGCAGACTTGTATGGTGAGTAATAGTATTGTGTAACATGTGATGTTTACCTGGTAAGATACAGTGGTCCATAAAAGTTAGTTCAACATTGGTTTTCGTTTTTAGTGTTGCTGATGTCTCTTCTTCGCAGTGCTTTTATTACTGACAGATAACCGGAACATCAACGATGCTCCTGAGATCCCAATGGAGGTCAATTCTACTGGAGACAAATGTTGGTGCAAGAAGTGGCATTTTACAAGAATAATGTACTTAGAGATATGATTGGAGCCTTCAGTGATGATGAAAGTTTGAGATGGCAGCTGGAAGCTGTGTTAATTGATGGTAGAGGAGAGATTGAAGAGGGAAGAGGGTCTGGAGTGAAAAGAGAAGTGCTCACTGTTTTTTTGGAGAGAATTCTTCAAGTTCTTTAATTTTTTTTTTTTTTTTTTGCAAAGAAGAGCTTTTTTTTTAAAGTGTATGATGAGTATTTTTTGCCAAAAAGTGAGTTTTTGAAAGTTACTGTAGACATGTTTGGGGATTTTTTTTAAGTGACATCCCTGAAGGTTAATGTCTATTACAGGCAACATGGTTCTTGTTGTTGTGACTTATTCATAAAGTGTGCTGACAAAGCACACTGCACAACAAATATGAAATGTGCTCTCTTGCTTTCCCACAATTTGAAATTTATATGAGTATTTTTGATGGACATGGTGTTATCCTACACTTGCAAGAACCAGTGTCCCTTCAGTTTCGTCAATAGTGTTTGTAACAATAACTCATTTCATTTATTGCTTTGAAGTTAGCTTTCTATAGGACAATTCAGGGCCAAGTTGTTAAAATCAAGTTTAATGGTCATCTGGGTTAAATATTAAGGCAGCCTAGAGGTTATGGTCACACTTAACCCAGGATAAGTGTTAACCTTGTTTTGAACAACTCTGCCAAAGACTTATTGCAAGTAGTCTGTTGTGAGGGTAGTTCTAAATGTACAGCCTGTGGAGGATTTTTTCTCCCCTCCATAATCCCTTCCCACTCCTTGTCGAAAGAATGTATGTCTTTTGTTCAAGTCATGCTTGTAACTGGAGAATGTGTAACATTCACATTTTCAATGCCCTTATCCCATCTAGCCTGTGATGGAATTCCAAATTCTTGTATTCCATCCATGAGGTATCGCAAGAACATACCTGCTAGGTTGTTGGTGAAACACTTTATGTAAACTATTTGCTCTACTATACCCATCAATTCAGCCATGCAAAACAAACCTCCAGTGGATTAACTTGTGATTTGAGTCAATATGCCACAGGTGGTTTGGCTTTTTAACATTACACAGACATTGGTAAATTGCATACCTGCACCTTAAGGCGTGGTTTATAGGATTAATTCTTTGTAATGCTTCCTGAATTTTCCACCTCTAACCATAAATGCCACATGCTCTCAAAGCTCCTCGTATGTACCTTTCACCAGAGAAAGGTGTTATTTGTAAGATATCTCTTACATTCCAATCAAGTTCCTGTTCATTAACCTCACTATAATCACGAGTAACAAATTCTATTCT